CTGGTCCTTAGTTGGTCATGAGCTGGTTTAAGCTGGTCATGTGCTGGTCATGTGCTGGTCCTAAGCTGGTTGAGCAACTAGCCCCAACTCAGGACCAGCTCATGACCAACTAAGGACCAGCTCAAACCAGCTGCCATGCTTCAAAACGTACCTAACCAGCATGTGCTACTTTTTTTTTTTCAACAGAGTAGGCTTCATGAAATTCTCTCTCATATCACAGAAGCTTGAAACTTGTTTCAGTGTCAAGTTTACTAACACCGTTTCATCATAAACCCAGAATTGGATTATAATGGAGAAGTAGTAAATGGTGTGTAAATACAAAGCCCTCTGCTTCCATTTACATAACTCACTAAAGTTACACACAGAACCATTTCCCAACAACAACTTCCAGAAAGGAAATACAGTAAGTCCAGAGGGTCCATAAAAATCTGTCATCCACCAAGATGGACTTTACAGAAGTTCCAGTGAGACATCTATTGTTTGGTTGTGAGAGATATGTGATACAACTGTCTAAACAACATGATGTCACAGTCAAGAGTGCAAAACTTTCCTATATGAGAGAAACAGCAGAGTTGTATTTCAGTCAGTGAGCAGAAAAAAAAACATATTCAGCAGAGCTTAATAAACTGCAAAAATATATTTACAAGTTTTTCTCTTTGTCTTAAAAAGTACAGCATCTCTTTTATAATACTTATTATTTATTTATCTCCATAGTAATATGGTAATGATAAAGATCAAGTAACTTCATAATCTGCATATGAGTGCAGTCTAATAGTTTGCAGGAACTGCGCATTTTTCTACAATAGATATCTACAATGCACCAAATACTGGCATTTAAACTTGACTCCAGTCACTAAAGACCCCAGCCTTGAATTTCCTTCAATATGGACTTCAGAGGATTCTAAACTGATGACAGATTTTTATGGATTTGAATAGATTAATTCACCAGGGTTCCAGCTTTCAACTCTTAGGAACTCAAAGCTCTCTGCTCTTATTTAATTATCGCCCAGTTGAGCAGAAAATAGAAAATACAACAGGTCAATATCCATTCCGTTTGAAGATAATGAGTGGGAGGAAATAGGAAAAGCAACTTGGAAAGAATATGAGCACACAAAGAATGGGAAAAAATGACATTTCTCCAATCATAATGAAGGAAATATATCACAAATAGACAAAGAAAGAGGGTGTGCATCCATCTGGCTCTGATAAAAACACAGTGTCAGTGAAAGCCTTCAAAAGGGCTGGACTAACATCTGGTTTCGACATGCTTTCCCCCTGCAGATGAACTATGAGGAATGGGTTGGAGTTGCTCTCTGAGGGAAGGAGGGAGGAGTAGGAATATAACAGCTGGATTACATACAGTCACACAATGTCTCTATGGTTTATACATTTCAGACCCAACAGTAAATATTGGGTAAATATCTAGCTATTGTTAGAACAAACAAAATATGGGGAGCTGATGTGCTGAAACAGTCCTGTTTGTGCAAAATGTTTAATTCCTTTCTGGATTAAAACAAACCCTATTCACCCTGGTCTGCACACAAACAGATACTGATTTATCTATTTATTGTGTGCATTTACTCTTTAATCAAAATGAAACAACGTATGCTTATGAAACAACTTTCTTTTTTGATGGACATTAAGGGAGACATGTCCCATTCAGAATAATGGTCAATCAATTTTGTTATTTACTTATTTATTTTTTCTTGATTGATAATTAAACTTTTACATTTGATCGCCCTCAAACTTATTTTGTTGCATCCTTGCCTTTAACCATAGATTTTTCAAGATACAACTAATTTCCAGTGTAGAAAATCAAGTTTCATCCTACTTTGTTCCTCATTATATATCTGTTTTGACTTATGAAATATGCCACATTATGGAAGGAAAATGGGCTGCAAACATAAAGCAATGGATGCAAACCTAATTTATTTATAGTAAAAAAACAAAACAATAAAATAGCCTGATGTTATTTATCATTTCTCTGATCATTTGAATTTTATTTCCATTGTATCCAGTGTCTCCCATAGCATGCAGCAGACAAAGAATCATTCTCTTTCTTGTTCTTAGTACCTTTTAATATATCGTCCAGGGCTGGACGTCTGGAGCACACATGTATCCACTTATGTCTGCTTCCTGCACTCCACTCACCTTACTCTGGGCTTAGTTCTGGAGTCAGGGCCAGTGAAAACACCCTTTGTTTTCTTTGGAGGTGAAAGCATTGCAGGGAATCGCTGAACAGAAAGTGCAACATATCGACCATGGAGATACACAGAAATATGTGGATGCAGAGAAAAAGGAATAAAGAGGACTCATTTCTGCCATCTTGAACACATTCTGATTACATTCCAAAATAATTCATCATGACCAGAAACGCCACATTCAATGGTGAATACAAGCCCCAGAAGACCTCAATGAGTGGTGTGCCAACCATTATTACTGGCACAGTAGTTTGTCCCAAAAACCTCTATTTATTTATGTCCTAATTGGAGCTGCAGTTCACAAACAGAGTGACAAGTGGCGGGTGACCACAGGTGCCATGAGAAAAGTGCAACACAGCACAAACCTGAAAGGAATTCCACATCCAGACAAAGCCAAGCATCTAGAAAGGAATTTGGAATGAATGTTCTGGAATCATGCACTACTGTTATGGCAAGCCATTTTAACATTTATTCCTAAAATTAACTAGCACACATTTGATCTTAATAGTATTTATTTTAATTCATTTTCATACTAGAAATTATTACACTATATTCAATTAATCACTACTTATTTGTTTGCTACTAGTCAGTATCCTACTAACAGGTAACTATTCCATTGCTATTGGTAATAAATTGCTCAGTTTTGCCACTGAATTCTATGGCTAAATTGTTTTCACTCAGAAATTGCTAGTAAATTTCACAAACAATCACAAAGAATGTAACACATTGAATTAAACATGAAATTTGGAATTAGAAAGACTGACTTTCTGTTTTTTTTGTAAAATGTACTCTAATAATGTTTTGTTTACATCTTTTTTTTTTGTTTATTTATTATGGTGTACTAGTACTTATTTCTTAGTTACAATTCTAGTCGCATATTCTGAATAAGCAGGCCTCCTAGTAACTCATTAATAGTTAATACAATTAATAGTTATCTAAAGAAACACAAATTTATTGTTGGGCTGCTTCCTAGTAATTTAAAAGTAAGTAAGTGAATAAAATAAAGGTAAGTAAAGTTAGTAAGCTTGCCACATTGTGGTTGAATCCATGAAGGTAAAGAACTCACGGCTTGTGGTCCTCTTGTGGTTGGGATGTCGCACAGTGTCCTGCAGTGAATCCAGCCTGTGCTGCAGCGCAGAAGCTTTATTGATGAGCAGCGCTGATTCAGTCTGGATCTCCGCAAACATGCTGCTGGCGAGCCGCGACAGATCGGACAGCTGGCGGAGGATGTTAATCAAAGTTTGACAATTCACAGCATCCAGGGAAGGAAATACATCACCATTAACTTCCAGTCGTTCTCTGTTTATTCTGCCCAGGCTCCGGGGCTCCACTATTCTCTTATGAAACGGCATTTTTTCATGGAAAATACTTTTTTTGTTTATTATAATGCAATTAGTCCACTTGTTTTTTAGAAGTGTCAAGTGTTGCTGTCCATTCAGGTGTCTTAACCTGTTCTGCAAACATCCTGACATCCCGCCTCATGATTCAAAGGATCCTGCCCTTATTCTTCTGGAAGAGCGCTTTGTTAAACTTTCTTCTGGAGGCTCTGTTATCAGGACAAACTCAAACCCCGGAATCTGGAGTAACATGAGGATCAGGAGTTTGAGCAGCACTGTAGATCTCACGCCAGCTTCAGATGCATAACTTAAGCATAACACTAGCATTACTTTAATTAATTAATATGGAATTGCTTTTTTTCGCAGTTATTATTTTTTATGCATGAGTTTATTTTACTAATGAAATCAGGAGAGAGAAGACGAATCTCTGACATTTGTCCAAATTGATGATGCTCCAAAAGACAAGTTAGCCATTTGTGCATACTTTGTACCTTCACAGAGATAAGTTATAGACATGTCACTTTACAGAAAGAACACTTTAAGACTAAAGTATTACAGCAACTTAGGTGTTTCACTGGCAAACCTAATTGGAAAGGTACACAATAATGTTATGCTGGTAAAGTGCGCCCTCGTGTGGCATTTTATTGAAAATGTTACCTACTTTTCTTTTCTTTTCTTTTCTTTTCTTTTCTTTTCTTTTCTTTTCCCTGAGCCAGAGAGAATTATAAACTTACCTTCACTTTGAGGCTAAACTAGAAAGTAACTTCTGTCTCAAAGTTCATTAAATACTTGGGTTTCCAGAAACAATTTCTGGCAAAGTAATTATTTTCATGAGACGTACGTCTTTGTGTTGCTATCGACGTTACTTCTTTTTTTGTGAAAGTTTAAGGTTTTATTAAAGTAATATGTACAATGAAGATGTAATTCATCTATGTCCATTTTAACTTATTTTCTTTTCCATAACTTAATTTGCACTGGCAAACAAGAGCAGGAGGTTAGGAGGACACCATAATCGTGATTAGGATTAAAATATATAGTGTACGATCCATATATAGATATGATTGAAAGTGATATTTATTAAGTTTTGGTTATGTAAGTAATTTAAATGTAAAAAAATATTGCTGTAAAACAAAAAATATTTAGTAATTGAGAATTGATATCTATTTTTTTTTTCTGTAATGTCTGCTCTATTTCTCATAAGATCAATATTGTCTTGAAAAAATAATTTATTCAGCAATTAAGAACGAGCTAGATGGATATACCTACAATAATTTTCAGGGGCCGAGTTGTGTGGCAATAATGAGTTTATTCTTTTGGATAGATAGATAGATAGATAGATAGATAGATAGATAGATAGAAATGGGCCTCGCATAGATTGAGTGTGATGCTTTGTAGATAGTGAGGGGGCAGCAGTGTGTCAGTTCCAGCACTGCACTGAAGCACACTCCCATCAGCTCTTAAAGGCTCACGCACGTCCCGTCCCGTCGGCAGCCATGTTGTTCGTCTGACAGCGCCGTACAGCAACAGGTTGTCAAAGATTCCCAATAAAACACTGCAGAAATTCTTTAAAGGACCCTGAAAGCCGATTGTCATCACGTTAATTCAGAGGACAATGGAAAAGGATATGTTTTCCTCCCAGGAGATTTCGCAAAGTCAATAATGCTGTTGTGTAATGTGAGTACCTCCTGTTATACTGCTCAAATGTCTGCTCATTTCAGTGTTATATGCTTTAATCACACTTTATAATCAGTTAGAACGTAGTTACAGTACTTATGTACATACTATTTATACTACATATAATGTTGAACATTTTCTGGTGGTTATCATTTGGGTTTACAGTACGTTTGTTGTGTGATGAGTTGGAAAAAGTGTCCAGTTTCAGACTCTTCAAAGTCCTTCAGAGCTTCATATTACAAATATTAGAGCTCATTGTGAGTCATATGTGTCATTTAAAGGTAAAGACCTGATTCAAAGTGCTTTTGAGCATACTTTCTTCACACAAACCTGCCAGCATTTTTGGCCATCACGGCCCATGTCTCGTCAGTGTTTTAGATCTTTTCACTGGTTTCCTGTTGGTTTGCCATCTTTTTATTTTTTTGTTGTTGTATAGATCATATCAGTTTGCACCTGACTTTTCTAAAAAAAAAATGGCTTAATAAGATGCTGTTGCTGTACTCCATAAGACTGTAAAAGTTGAGCCTTTGAATTAAGGCTCTTTTAGATTAATAGTAATGTAGTTTATTCCTTTCCAGTCTGTAAGGAAATGTCCTTGCAGACTCTGGGTCAGTGAAGGAGAATGATTTGTCAAACCGTAATGACTTTTGTCCTCTATTCTCAGGTGAATGGTCACAGACTTATTCTATTAACCACAGGATTTGTGCTTATCGTAACAAATCGCCAATTCATATGGCACGTTAGAAATAGATTGTGTAACATAGTTGTTCAAGATCATGTGTATTTTTCATGCTTATCTTCATAGCTTGGACTTATCTGCTATTCATCACAAATGCTCAAAACAGCTCATGTTATCTAAGCAGACTAATGAACCAATCCATTCTGCCGGTATTATTGTGTTAGAGCTGCTGGCCAAATGATTCGGTTACAACCTGGAAAAAATATTTGCTTTAAAAAGACAGTTAGAAATGTTGGGCATTATTATATACAGGGTTAAAAAAAAAGATGCCACAGAGCCAGTGTGACACTGTCTTGCATTGGTTGATCATGTACTGTGAAGTTTGTGGAGTTTGGTGCTGTACTTATCATTATACTGGTATTATATACATACTGGTAAAAAATGTATAGCCTGAATGCACTGTAAGTCGCTTTGGATAAAAGCGTCTGCTAAATGCATAAATTATTATTATTATAATTATTAAATTATTGTACTGATTGTAGACTGTATCACCAAGCTAAGGTTATCTAGCTCTCTAGCATAGATGAAGATTTGTTGAAACTGTGAGAAAGACCTCTGATAGTGTTGAAAGCATCCGATTTTTGAACATACACACACAGTTTTGAACAGTTAATGAAAACAAACAAAAAAAATTATTCTGACACGAAAAATACATATTAGATAAAAAAAACGTTATCATTATTATTTATTAATAAAAAAATAGGAATAAAATAAAATATTTTGAAGTACTAAAATGACTAAAACTGAAATAAAAGTAAAGCTAAATTATATTTTAAAATAAATTAAATATTTCAAACACTATATATATATATATATATATATATATAACAAGAACTAATAAAAATGAGTTTTTATTAACTTTAAAATTAAAATGAAAACTGAAAATATAAATATATCACTAAAAATAGGCATGTACTAAAATAACACTGGCTAACATGGCATTTTCTTTAATCATACTTAGTACTGCCAGGGAATGTTGGCAGGGCAACTACTGGCCCAACAACTGCACCAGCAAGATCCTTTTTGTTGTGCCCTGATTTATCTTTAAGAAGGTCCAGTGATGTAGTGATGGCGTGATGTATATGTACAGTGTATATGCTGTATTGACAGCTGTCTGGCTGTTTAAGGCTCTACTGATGTGACCTGCATGAACTTCTGTACCAAAAAAAAACATCAGACAACATCTCTCAGAATGTGGAAGAGCTGGGTGCTTGAAATCTGTCAAATATAGATGTATGAATGGATTACATTCTAGTCATTAGAAAAGAATAATACAATAATAAAATAAAATGACATAATTGACAAATAAAATAAAGTAAAACAAATATAACAGTACGGTAATGAAATCAGTAGCAACCACAAGGGTTGTGACGATGGATGATAGCATCGTGTATCAGTGATAGTTAGAAATATTGCCTGTTGCTGACGCCTTTGACGATATCAAGACGATACTACTACTACTACTACTACTACTACTACTAATAATAATAAATTATCATTATTATCAGGCAAGTATTATTATCTAATTATATTAGGGCTTATTTGTTCCATCATATTTCTTTTTGTGTTTTTACACTGTTGCGAGTTATAACCAATCACACACGATTCTGTTGAGTTTATGAATGCAATGGCCAATCAGAAGCCTTCAGATGAGTCATCATCACTGAAACACCTGAGTTTTGTTGTTCAGTGTACTGCTCTCTCACGAATTCTCTCATCATAAACAACGAAGTGCAGATGTACATGTGATATAAGTATAAGAGATTTATTCATCATACAGTGTAGACAGCTTCATTGATTATAATGGGCGTGTTTTTTTAAAGTGCATAAACTCGCGCTAGACTGAAGTCAGTGATGATGTTCTTTGATATTGTAATTTGTAAATATTCCTTGCTCGTTTTCTGTAGCTGCTGTTTGAATAACTGAGGAAACGTACGCATTATAATTAGTAACTTATAATGTTTTTATTAAATTGTTATCTTGTTAAATACAAATTCAGACACATTCAAAATATTTTACGATATGACATCCATATGCTACTTGACTAAAAAGATATAATGTGAGTTAATAGATCACACTAACATTAGGCTGCTTTTAGCCTTACCCTGGAGTTGGTTCACTCTCCGACTATGAAACTAGGAAAGTAAATAATTAAATAAATTAGCATGATAATATCGTGTATCGGCGATCTCACAGGCTGACGACAGGACGATATGACTTTATGGAGCATATCACCCATTAGCATCTCTGGTAATATTGCCAGGGATGTTTTTTTTTCATGATCAAGGCTCTACACCCTCTTCTACAAACAATGCTTTCATTTTACGAGAACTGAGAATTCAGTGACAAGCACAAAAGTGAGGGCTCTGACACACAGACAGCGTTTGTTGGTTTTAATGTGGCTTAATGTCCTCTCCGACCACAAGGCTGTGGGTCCAGAGTATTTGTACAACATTGTTTGTGACCTCTCGACATCCTGTTTCGTTTTTGCTTTCCTCCCACTTCCTTCGTTCCTTTGTGGCTGTTAAATCACACGCAGGGTGGAGGCAGGAGGTTGTGGGACGTGCCCAGCTATGACCTCACACTCTATCTTTGCAGCTCTCACATCATATACGCCATTAATATAAAGCGAGTGAAGGTAGAATGACACGATTACATTGTGCTTTGTCGGTGCTTCAGTATTTCCAAAGAATTCATACAGTACCTGTTACTGAAATTGGTCGTTGACAAGCAAATGATAATATAGCCTAGTGGAAAGAAATGCTTTGTTTCCATATTAAATAGCTGAATCTTGGATATTTGCTATAGCCTAGATCAGGCGATGCAAAATTTGACCCAGGTGCAAATAACATGCAAAGCCAAGATTGAAATACCTTTGGTCTCTCAAAGCTCTCAGTAAAACAGCAGTTTTGGGTGATTTGCCTTTGACTCTATATGTACTGGAAAGAGATAAGCAATGCATGCAGTTTCTAATTTAAATATAGTTTCTCATAGTATTCTCATTAAAATATGCAGTTTGTCCAGATCGTTCAACTGGGAATTAGTTTGGAGTCAGTATGAATTTTTAAAAATAAATTTATATTTTTATTTAGCAGTGACTCATTCATTTAATGAAAAAAAGTGATAGAAAAGACATTTATAATGTAACGTAAATTTAAAAAAAAAATTGCTTTAAATAAATGCTGATATCAAAGAATCCTAAAAAAGGTATCATTGTTTCCACTAAAATATTAAGCAACATACACATGTTTTCAGTATTGATAATAATAAGAAATGTTTCTTGAGCACCAATCAGCATATTAGAATGATTTCTGAAGGATCATGTGACACTGAAGACTGGAGTAATGATGCTGAAAATTCAGCTTTGCTATCACAGGAATAAATTACATTTTAATATATATTCAAATAGAAAACAGCTATTTTAAATTGTAATAATATTGCATAATACTACTGTTTTTAGTGTGTTTTTGATCAAATAAATTCAGACTTGATGAGCATAAGCAATTTCATTTCCTTCCATCATACCTAACATTTGCAAAGATTTGCATCATGACAATAAATGCAAATAAATAAATCACTCTATCTGTCCGTCACTCTCTGAATAAAAGAAAACCACAGCGAGCACCACCAGTGTGTTAGAGTGATATGACAAACATGACAAGCATGCCCTATCCGAGCACTTTTCTGGAAGCTTGTCCTGTTTGACTGCATTCTGTTCCTCTATAGACCTGCTCCCACAGCTGTACCACACATCACTTCATGTCAGCAACTTTCTCACTTTTTTTAAATGTGTGTGTATTTACTGCTATGTGTAATTGGTTTTGAAGATCTGACAGCTGTGATATACAGTACAACTGGTCTGTTAAATGAGTGTCGTGAATAGTGGTAGGCCTATATATTAGCCAAGCTGATGTTTGGACATTTTGGGATCGGCTGATATACAACAATATACCGACTGCTTAATAGCGGTGTATGAAACTACAAATTTTCATAAGTGTGGGTGGTCTGAATGACTAGTTGACTAGTCTGTGGTAAGACGGTCTTGTATAATTAGGCTGCATCATGTCTACCAGCCCCCTGCCTGGTCAGATGCATTTCTCAGGGTGAATTGAATTTGAATTCCTTTGAATTTTCAGTATTGTGTGTGTGTGTGTGTGTTGCATTAAATTTAAAGGATAAGTTCACTTCCAGAATGAAAATTCTGTCATCATTTACTCACCCTCCACTTGTTCCAAACCTGTATAAGTTTTTCTTCTGTTGAACACAAAAGATGATATTTTGAAAGATGTTAGTGTCCGAACAGTTGATGGGCACCATTGACTTCCATAGTATTTTTGGTGCCCATCAACTGTTCGGATACTAACATTGTTCAAAATATCTTTTTGAACACAAAAGAAACTCATACAGGTTTGGAACAAGTGGAGGGTGAGTAAATGATGACAGAATTTTCATTCTGGAAGTGAACTTATCCTTTAATGCAAATAAGATCTATATACCTGTTTGTGTATATACTGTACATCTGAATTATTGTTCATATTGTCAGTATTGGTCTCTGTCTCTGTACCCATATCAGTTCACCCCTAGTCATATATAATATAATTATCAGCCATCTTGATCTTTTTTTTCATGCGTACACTACAGAGATGATTTCAGACTAATTGATTTAATGTGTGAATCAGAGTTCTTGGCTGACCCCCACCACTGACATTTACCGGACGTACTACAGTTTAGTAAATTTAAATGAGTTATGCATGATTTCATCAAACAATGTCTCAGGCTTACAGGGATAAACCTAGATAACTCTATCATTTCATGACACTTACTAAGACATTATTAGGAATTATGGAAGCACACATGCAGACTTTTTTAGATTTTTTTTTTTTTTGTCTAAAGGTTCAGTAGACTGTTCCATTTAAAAATTCTATTTATTAGATTTTCTTGACTCTTATTTCATGTCAAATAACGATGAAGCTTTGATTGCTTTGAAATCAGTTTCTGATGTTATTAGGAGGAGCATACTGATACAGTCAGTCATAAACAGTGTAATAAAAGTGTCATTGTTTATTTAGATTTTTCACATAGAACATTGTTGAAAACATTTGTATGGGGAGTTTAGAGCTCTCATCTCCTCCCTCTCACCCTTCCTCTCTCCTTCACACATCCTCTTCTCTCTCTCTTTCACTCTGAGAGCAACAGCCCTGCACTCCCCTGCCTGCATTATTAATGGGTGGACATTTCTTCTTTTTCTCTCTCTCTCTCTGTGTGTGTGTGTGTGTGTGTGTGTGTGTGTGTGGTGCAGATGACTGAGCTAGCCAGCTGAGACGAGGAGATCAGGACCGCTCTCCTCATATCCCTGCCACCTGCAGCCATGAATGGTAAGAGCTCTGCTTTATATTTCTATGTGTGTGTGTTTACCCATGTGTCCCAGCCAACAGGATTTGTGTGTGTGTGTACACAAAGGACCTTTAGCCTTATAAATGCACCAGAACATGAGTCTTTCCTATCTATCCTGTCTCGTTCATATTTGCGGTGTGTGTGCAGGTGCTACGCTGCTCTCTCTCACTGCAGCATGCATTGCTCACACACCAGTAGCTCTGACCGTCTGCTTTGATTTCTGCCTGTCAGCAGCCCATCTGTCACACTGACACGTCACTGCTTATTGATGTTGTTTATTTGATAACTGACTTGTGTTTGTTAAAATATACATTTTGAAGATACTTTCTCAGTTTTCTCAGTAGCTGTCATTTGAATAGCAGGATCGGGCCACCCTGTAAATGTTTCAAGGGATGTTGTTTATTGAACGTTTATGAGTTTTATAAGTTTTCTTCCATTGGAGAATGGTTGTTTTTAATAAAGATAAATGAATGAATGAAAATTAATATGTTAGGATATTGAGACAATTTCAGCCCCAAATGGCTGCTGTCATACACGATTTAAATAAGAATTCAAAAGTCAAATATAACTTAGTGACTGGTAGAAAAAAAAATTTCTGCCTATGTTATGTGAATGAGTGGATATGTTGTGCTCAGCTAATCAAATTATGAATGTTAAATGGCAGAAAAAACGTGCCAACTTTTGAACTTGGCTCCTCAAATTGTCATTTCATCTTCATTTTATCATTTAAAATGACAGCTCACTATTAACTTTATAAAAAAAATGTGTGATTATTTTGTAAAACACAGAAAAAAGTCAACTTTTTTTCATGACTGTTTTTTTTAATATATGTGACTTGTTATACAGAAATTTGCAAATGCATGTACAAATAAAAAAAATGCATATGACATTTTAATAGAATACGTTTAGAGTTTTAAATGAGTAAATTTAAGCTTTGAACTCAAAAGTATAGACTGTCTACTGCTGCTTAAAGCTGACTTAACTGTAATTTCAACAAATATCAGGGTAGGGCTATCGTTCATATCGTTCGGTATCGATAATTATTGACATTTTTTATAACCTTTTTTAAAACAGAGCAATAGAAAAAAATGTTTACATTTAACCACTGTATTTTTAAATTAACTCAATTTATTGAGACAAACAACAAATATTTTTATGTTTTAACAGTCAAAAACAAAATAAAAATTAAACGAATATCTAATTTCTAATGTTTTATATGCAGATTAAATATGGTGCAGATGACAGAGCTAGCCAGCTGAGACGAGGAGATCAGGACCGCTCTCCTCATATCCCTGCCACCTGCAGCCATGAATGGTAAGAGCTCTGCTTTATATTTCTATGTGTGTGTGTTTACCCATGTGTCCCAGCCAACAGGATTTGTGTGTGTGTGTACACAAAGGACCTTTAGCCTTATAAATGCACCAGAACATGAGTCTTTCCTATCTATCCTGTCTCGTTCATATTTGCGGTGTGTGTGCAGGTGCTACGCTGCTCTCTCTCACTGCAGCATGCATTGCTCACACACCAGTAGCTCTGACCGTCTGCTTTGATTTCTGCCTGTCAGCAGCCCATCTGTCACACTGACACGTCACTGCTTATTGATGTTGTTTATTTGATAACTGACTTGTGTTTGTTAAAATATACATTTTGAAGATACTTTCTCAGTTTTCTCAGTAGCTGTCATTTGAATAGCAGGATCGGGCCACCCTGTAAATGTTTCAAGGGATGTTGTTTATTGAACGTTTATGAGTTTTATAAGTTTTCTTCCATTGGAGAATGGTTGTTTTTAATAAAGATAAATGAATGAATGAAAATTAATATGTTAGGATATTGAGACAATTTCAGCCCCAAATGGCTGCTGTCATACACGATTTAAATAAGAATTCAAAAGTCAAATATAACTTAGTGACTGGTAGAAAAAAAAATTTCTGCCTATGTTATGTGAATGAGTGGATATGTTGTGCTCAGCTAATCAAATTATGAATGTTAAATGGCAGAAAAAACGTGCCAACTTTTGAACTTGGCTCCTCAAATTGTCATTTCATCTTCATTTTATCATTTAAAATGACAGCTCACTATTAACTTTATAAAAAAAATGTGTGATTATTTTGTAAAACACAGAAAAAAGTCAACTTTTTTTCATGACTGTTTTTTTTAATATATGTGACTTGTTATACAGAAATTTGCAAATGCATGTACAAATAAAAAAAATGCATATGACATTTTAATAGAATACGTTTAGAGTTTTAAATGAGTAAATTTAAGCTTTGAACTCAAAAGTATAGACTGTCTACTGCTGCTTAAAGCTGACTTAACTGTAATTTCAACAAATATCAGGGTAGGGCTATCGTTCATATCGTTCGGTATCGATAATTATTGACATTTTTTATAACCTTTTTTAAAACAGAGCAATAGAAAAAAATGTTTACATTTAACCACTGTATTTTTAAATTAACTCAATTTATTGAGACAAACAACAAATATTTTTATGTTTTAACAGTCAAAAACAAAATAAAAATTAAACGAATATCTAATTTCTAATGTTTTATATGCAGATTAAATAGGTTAAACTTTTGGCTTGTCTCCCGAGGCCACAGGAGGCGCGCAATTAGCAAAATAATGCAGCACATTTTAAATGTTCAACGCAAGGAAGTAATAGTCTATAAAAAACGTGCATTACGTCTAAATTAACTCGTATAACTCAAATATAATTTCGTAAATTGCATAAACAATTATGAACAAAACAGCATCACGTATTTATGCATTGCTTAATCCAAAGAGCCGAA